TCATGTCTTTGGGACACTGGTGGCCTTGAAACACATATTCTGTTTCAAAATTCTCTCCTGGCTGCTTCTGAAGTTGTCTTTTTGCTCTTGAGTTTACTGAATTTGTGAATTGCTTCGATCTCCCCAAATTGCATGCTCTTCTTCCTGGGGGTTTTGTCTGTTGTCTGAGTCATCTGGTCTTTTGTTGAAGAATGAGCAGAGCAGAGCCCTGCAGTGGAGATTTCTCAGCCACTGAGCACCTCTCTCTTCTCCCCCAAAGCAGATGAAGTGAACCTGCTGGACAAAATCACCCTCCACGCCCAGGACCTCAGCAATATTTCCTTTGCCTACGATGAAGGCCACTGCAGGTTCCTGGAGGTGGGGCAGTATGCCACCCTCAACATCCCCACCAGGGAGGCCTTTGGGGACAGGTAGGTGCCTTTGTGTGGTTGTATAAGGTTGTGGGGTTATGTGGGTGTGGAAGGTCATGAGGTTATAAGGGCAGTGCTAATTCTGGCCTGGCTGCTGCTTTTTGAGCAGCTGCCTTTAGGACTGCAGTGATGGTTTTTGTTGCCCTTGTTTGCTTTCGTTTTTCACTCTCCCCGCGTTCCTTCGTGCTGGGACTCGTTTGTTGTGCCCTGAGAGGTGGCACAGCAGGTGCCACGTGTGTCCCTTCCTCCTGCCAGGTTTGCTGACGAGCTGAGCGTGCTGATGAAGCTCAGGTACTCCCTGAAGGAGGACACCAGCCTGGTGACCATCCTCAGCCACAGGAGCCACGTGCTCTTCCAGATCAGGATCAGCCCCTACGGCCTGGTCTTTGTCACCACGAGGAGGAGACACTACGAGTGAGTTCCAGCTCAGGTGTTGGTTTTTTTGGCCTTTTCTTGCTTCCTTTTCCCCTCCCAAGGCCAGAGTCGAGGTTTCCCACTCAGATGGGCTTTGAGCAGTGCCCATCACGACCCATGAAGGTCCCTCAGACCCCTTGCTGTGACTGTGCAGGTTGTCACTGCCGAACTCCACTCTGTCAAAATAATGCAGGTTGGAAAACAGGGCAAAGAACAAAAAGGTTAAATTACCTGGGGAAAGACACAGCTACCAGGAATTTCTCAGGCACCTCAAGTGGTTGTGGAATCCCCAAATCCATCGGCAAACAGCATTCCTGTGCTGGAAGACAAGTGATGGTGCTCCTTGTGACAATTCTAGTGCTGTCTTTTGTTGTCCTTTGCTGTCCCCCACTAAGGGACCTTGGAGCTGATGAGGATCCATAAGCTGTGGGACCAAAGTTTCATGCTGTGTCCCTTCCTTTCCCCTCTGGAACACCCAGGTTCCCAGTTTCCTTCCTCAGTGATGGGCACTGGCACCAGGTTGCCCTCAGCATCTCCCTGGAGAGGCTGGAATTGCACGTGGACTGTCGGCTGGTGGACAGAGTGAGCTGGGCCAACTATTTCGGGATGGGAGTGAACACTGAGGGGCTGATCATCATTGGAGGCCTCATCGAGTCCTTTGAGATCCCCTTTAAGGTGAGTGAGAGCTGGGCAGCCTGGCAGGGCTGTGTGTGGGGGCATGGTCTGCCCCAGCTGCGGGAAGGGAGGCTGCCATCTCCCTCTGAGGGGATCCTTTCCCTTCTCTTCCCAAAACACACCCTGTGTTTTCATGCTCGGGCAGGGTGAGCTTGGAATTGTGCAAAGGGCTTGGTTTTGGCTCAGGGCAGCACAAGGGCCAGCAGTCAGGTCAGCACTGGAGACTCCTGGGTTTGACTTTCATCCTCTCCTGCTGGGCATGACTTGTACCACATACAGATGTTGCTGTGCATGCAGAGCATCTGGTTTGGGAGCCTGTCCCATGGCTTCAAACTGACACAGGGATGGGATGTTGGGAATAAATCCTTCCCTGTGAGGGTGTGGAAGCCCTGGCACAGGTTGCCCCATCCCTGGAAGTGTCTAAGGCCAGGTTGGACAGGGCTTGGAGCAACCTGGGCAAGTGGAAGGTGTCCCTGCCCATGGCATCTTTGCATCCAGCCCTTGAAGATGGAAAGGGAACGTTGATTGCCCAAACCATCCCATAAAGAAGCCCTTGGTTACAAGAAGCTGGAGACAACCTGCCCCCACAGCCCCTTCCAGACCTCTCTCTGTCCTCTGGAGGAAGAAGCAGGAGGGTAAACGATGGTTTGTGTGTCCCTTCCTCCCCAGGGAGCTCTCCAGCAGCTGACCTTTGTGATGGGAGACGCCTCGGCCGCCGCTGAGCACTGTCACAGCTACAACTCCACCTGCACGGGCTCCTTCAGCCTCAACCGCTTCACCTCCTCCTCCTGGGAGCCCTCGACAGCCTGGCCAGAGGTGTGGCTGAGGGCAGCTGACAAATTTGGGGAGTGCTGGGCCGGGTTCCTCTTTGGTTTAACCCCATTCCTATGACAGGGCTGGCCCAGGGCGTTAATGCAGCCTGGAAAGAGCTCGGCTCTCCACGCTGAGTTGAGATGCCAGGAGGTGACGGTGGGTGGTTCTGGGGGGGTTCTTTCACCATCCAAACCCTCCCTGCAATCACACAGATGGGTTTGGTGCAGAGGAGGGTGAGTTAAGGGGAGGGTTTCTGAGCCAAGGAAAGCCTGGGGGGGGTGTGTGGCTGTGTGTGCTCAGTGTGGGGAGCCCAGGGAAGTTTTGAGTAGCTGTTGAGTAATGCTGCAGCTGGAACTTGGCTTTTGGGAGGGGGTGACAGCTGTCCTGGGGGATTGTACACCACTCTGGAATTCCTGCCCGCTCCCAGCAGGACTGTGCACCCTTTGGTCCCTCTGTTCTGCCAGCATTGCTGGAAAGTGGAAGTTTGGGTGATTTTGCTTTAATTCTGGAAATTTATCTGTTCCAAAAAGCCCAGATCACTCAATAAATCCCCCTAAAAAGACATGAAATGCCCAGGCTCTCCTCAGGAGCTGCAGTTGGCCCAGGGAGATGCTTCATGTCTTGGGCCAGGTGTTTAGAAAGGAGCTTGGGAAAGGCTGGAGAGAGGCAAGTGTTGAACGCCAGAGTTCGGCACAACCCCCCCAGTTCTGATGGTCTGGTGAGGAGCTGGGACAGCTGCAAGGAAAAGGCAGTGCCAAGGGAGGAAACTGGGTGTGGGATGGGGCATTTACCCTCTCTGGGTCCTGCCCAAGGTTTCCTTTGGGCTACACGTCCTGGCAGCAAAGAGGGGGCGGTGACACCCACCCAGCACAGCCCTTTGGAGGCTGCTCCGCTCCCACCATGGGCTGCACCACTTTGTGTGTTTATTATTTTAGGAGGAGGATTTTAGGGGAAAGCCCTGGTGAGGAGGGATTAAGTAGGAGCAGCTTTGCCAAGGAGTAAAAGCGGAGGAGGCTGAGTGTGTGACACAGAGCAGGTCACACGGGCTATCTCCTGCTCTGAGGGACAGTGGGGTAACTCCTGGTCATCCCAAAATGCATTTGTCACACTGACAGCGCTTGAGTGCTGACTATAGCTCTGGGATAAGCTGGACTCACTCTCTAAAGCCAAGAAATAAGGACGAATCTGTCATTTAAAAGCTCCAAGATGTGTCCTCTGAGCCTGGGTTGGTGATGGGCTCATTTTTACATGTGTATTATCCCATGTTCTGGAGGGCTGGGGCTTTGGATGGCTCTGGTGTCTCACCCAGCAAGGAGGAAGTTTCACTTTAGGCATCAGTAAGTTGGCTGCAAGTGGGATAATTCTGCCCCGCATCCCACCGGTTCCCAGCCTTTGCTGGCCCTTCTCAAGGACTGATGAGCCTCCAAACCAAAAGAAACTGCAAAAACCACCCAAACACTTGAGGGGTTTAACCCAAAGCTGTTCCCTCCTGTTCCTCTGAAGGATTGGCTCCCAGTGTGCATTCCCTGGATGCTTCCTGTGCCCTCAGAGGCAGCTCCTCCATCCTGGAGCCAACAAATGAGCACGTAGTTAAGTCAGTGCTGGTCCTGGGGCAGTGATATTTCCCTCTTTCCCCCTCCATCTTTCCAGGTGCCAAAGGAAACCAATGAAATCCAAGATCCCTCTGCTCAGGTAAGACTCTCCTCCTCATACCCCTCTGCTGTCCCACCCCCAGAGCATCTCCTGGGGACACAAGTTTCTCTAACAAGCAACAAAGTGAAAGCCAAAATACCCAGAGCAAGGCCACTAATTATTATTTTGTTGGCTATTAGTTGTTATTTTCTTTATTGGAATATTTCCCTTTAATGATTTAAATGTAACTTGACATGTCCTGGAGCTGGTGGAGGCCAAGGTGAGTGTTTAGGTGACCTTCCTGAGCTCCAGTGAGCCTGGGGGAGATAGAGGTGGAGAAGAGATGGATCAGGTCACCACCTGCACAGAGGTGTTTGTGAATCCTTGTGCAGTTGGATTAGCTTGGAGGGAAGGGGGTGAAGGTCAGCAGGGTGGCAGGAGAAAGCAGGAGATGGGATGTCCACGGCTTCTGCCCACGTGTGGGATGTGATGGGCGAGCTGGAACTCTGCAGTGGCAGGAGACAGCTGTGCTTCTGGGAGTTCATAAAGCATCCCCCTGCCAGGGCAGAGCTCCTTGGGGTCCAAGGGTGGCTGCTCTGGTGGTCATGGCACTGGGGCTGGATTGTCCCATCTGCTTTCCCCCAGCTGGAGCTCAGAGTGTGTTCCAGCTCTTCTGCGTGTGCCGGGGAGATGAGCGAGCGAGCAGAGCGAGGCTGGCTGCAAGTGCCTGATGTTTGTGCTTTATTTGGGATTTCTAGCCAAGATTTGTTGTTCAAGTTCATGCAAACAGACATCCTGAGGGGGAAACCCGCCAGCAGCTGGAAATTGAGATTTGTGTGTGTGTGTGTGTGTGTGTGTGTGTGCGCGACTAAACAGTTCGATTCCTTCCTTCCCCTCACCCTCCCAGAGTCCTTCATTCCCCTCACCCTCACTGTTAACTCTTTGGGGAGGGTTTCTCTTCTCACTCCTGGCTTTAGCTGTTTGGTTACACCTCGACAACTCCTCTGGGCAAACCTCTCGTGTGGGGCAAAAGTGGCCTTGTCCCAGCAGGTTCATCCCCTCTGCCCCAGGGTTTGATCCTGGCACCTCACGGGCGAACCTGCTGCGGGTTTGGGGTGATGATGTTGGCTTTGTCATGAAGTGAGGTGGCAAAAGCACTCAGAAAGGTGGACTCTGCCTCCTTGCAGTCCGTCCTGGTGGCTCCTGATTGGGATTTGATCCCCACCATCCGATGCTGGTTTGCCAGCGGGCTCTCCCGGCGCCTGGTGACATTTTTGTCACCAATAATAAGAAAAGTGCTGAAATTCACGGGTCCATAGGGGAAAACTAATGATCTTCTGGATTTGGGACAAGTTTATTTTTTGGGCTTTTAATGAGGAGCAGAGATGCCTCGGAATCTTTGGCGTTTGGATTTATTAAATGGAAAAAAAAAAAAGAAAGAAAGTACTACTAATGCATTGCAGTTTGGAAATAATGGAGAGCAGAGCAGGGACGGGCCACAGCTCTGCTTTGTAGTTGTGCTTTCCCTGCCTTTGTTCCCTTAGAAGTAAATTGGTAGATTGGTGAATTCCATAATTGCTAATTAGAGCTAAACAATTACGCAGGCTTGGGGTTTGGTGGTGGAGGAAGATATAAGTGGGTGAGGGCAATAGTTTAGCAGCCTGAATGATACCTGAATTGCAGCCTATTCCTTTGGGGATTTTTTTTTTTTTTCTGAGGGGTAAATCATCATTTCTGAGTGATTTTTGGGACAGAGATGGTGTTGAGAGACTTCTCCTGCCTTTTGTCTTCTCTTTGACTCTCTGTACCCCACTTGAGCAGGAGGGCTGAGCTGATTGCTAAACTGAATGGCTTTTTCCCAAGCAATTTAATCTGGGATCCTGAAGCCATTCAGCAAAACAGTCAAATCAAGCTTAAATCCCACTGATTTCCAGAAGAAAAAAACTTCACAGGTTTAATTATGTGGGCAGTTCAAACTACTTTGGGAATTCCTTCTTGATTTAAAGCTGCTATGGGGGCTCCGTGGAAACGCTCAATTTGGTCGTGGTGTGTCTGCTCTTTCATCTTCAGATTTGTTACTGAGCAGAATTAACATTGGAATCACTTGTTCAGTCTCACCCAGCCCTAAAACTGCTGGATAGTAACAGCTCCATCCTTCCTTTAAAATCAGAGCAGCCTGAAGCTGATGCTCATCTTTCAATACCTGTCCCAAAAGGCTCCTGCTTGGTCATCCCAACCAATAAAGACAAGCCCTCAGCTGGGAACTGTCACTCCTCTGTTTCCCTGGAACTCTGGGGCTGCTGATTCCTTGGATAAGCTGGTCTAACACCAAATATCCCTGTGGGGGTGTGGGGAAGTGACTGACAGCTGGAGCCCAGCACTATCTCCCCTGCTCTCTTATCTCGGGATGGTTGTTCTTGTTCCCGAGAGCTCAGATATCTCAGCCACCTGCGGAGCTCTGAAACCAGTTTCTCAGGTAGGATAAGATCTGTGCATCATTTACTGCCCCCCAAACCCACTGTGAGATAAATGTAATGAAAGGAGTGTGTTGATGTGCACCACAGTGGTTTTTCATCCCCAAACCACACCGAAGAAATGAAGTGCTGTTCCCTCCGGCCTCACTGTGAGAGGAATTCCCATCCTCCAGTGGGAATCCCAGCTGCTCTTCAGCCTTTTATGATCTGAACTCCTGCCTGGGCTCAGCTTTTGTGCTCCTCTTGGCTTTTATGGGTTGTCACATGCCAGAAGTGTTGCAGGAAGGGCTTGGCTTGGCCATCATCATCATCATCATCTCTGCTCCCACTCGAGCAGCTCCCCGGGCTGTTGTGGTCGCACCAGCATCTCCTGTGCTGCTGCAGGTCTGTGTCTGTGTGCTCAGGGCACCCCATCCCCTGTGTGCAAGGCCGGCAGGGCTGTTCTCTGCTGAGGGCCACTTAGAAATGGGGGTTGCTCTGCTTTGGCTCTGCAGAGGTGACGCCTTGGTGCTGTGTGGGTGTCCAGGAGCACAGGGAGCCCTTCTGGGGCTTTGCAGTCTGAATGTGGCCCCTGGATGTGGAGCTCGCAGGGATGGTTAGGATTTGGGAGCTTTGGGACATCAGGGAGCCCTGAACATCCCCCTGGGGAAATGGGGAATTGCTGAGGCATCTCACAGGGACCTCCAAAGTATAGGGCAAAATATAGGGACCTCCAAATAAAGAGCATCTCGTTCTGACCCCCTGCCATGGGTAGGGACACCTTCCAGTATCTTTAGGTACCTTTCCGATAGCTAAAGAGGCTCCAGGAGAGCTGGAGAGGGGATTTGGACAAAGGCATGGAGTGACAGGACAAGAAAGAAGGGTTTTAAACCAAAAGAGGAGAGATCTAGATTGGATATTGGGAAGAAATTCTTCCCTGTGGCAGTGGTACCTTCCACCAGCCCAGGTTGCTCCAAGCCCTGTCCAGCCTGGCCTTGGACATTTCCAGGGATCCAGGGGCAGCCACAGCTTCTCTGGGCAACCTGTGCCAGGGCCTCCTCACTCTCACAGGGAGGAATTCCTTCCCAATATCCAATCTAAATCTCTCTTGCTTTAGTTTAAAACCATTTCCTCTTGTCCTGTCACGTCGCCTTTGCCCCAAATCCCTCTCCATCTTTCCTGTAGCCCATTTAGGCACTGGAAATCATTTATTTGCTCTATTTTTTCTATCTTACAATGTATTCACTTCCCACTCCTGCTGTGGATGCTGCAGATCCACAGGTATAACTGCCCTGATCTGCTGCTGGACACAAGATTTCCTGGAAATTTTTCCCTCTTTGAATCAGTCCAGCCTTGATTTTCAATCTTCCCGAGGTGGAGCCTCTTCCAGGAGCTCGATGCTACAACGTGCTGGAAAGAATAATTTATAATTGTCTTTCTCTGATCCCGAGCTCGTGGATCATATTGAACCCTTGGCTGTGGATGGAAGAGGCTCCTCTTCACAAAAATGTGCTTCCTCAGAGAAGACACTGAGCTCTGAACTGGGTTTGACCCAGCTTGGCCTGGCTGAGAGCCAGGGCAGAATGTTACTCTGCTGGTCTGGGCTCCTGAAGGTGGGGATGCTCCAAGCTGGACCTTAAACCCATTTGCTATTTAGTTGAGTTTTTGGCTTGTGGCATCAACTGAAAAGCCCTGCAGAAGTCCAGCATCACTGCACCAACACTGTTCTCTTGGTCAATAAAACACTCTTGGTCTCCTCAGGCAAGAAACCAAGTTAGTTCCACAGCAACTCCTTCCAAACCCCTGGCATTCATTACATTATCTGTGGTTTCTTTGCTAATGAGCCCCCTGTCAGTTGTCCTGTCATTTTGCTTGGGCTCAGCTTGAGGGAAGAGCTCTGTAATTATTCAGGGCTTCCTGTTTGCCTTTTCCCCCCTCTTTTTGTTTTGTTTTGTTTTTATTTTCCTCTTTCACATTGGCACAACATAAAGCCTTTTCCCAGTCCCCTGGAGCTTCCCCAGCTTTCTGAGCCAAACTGAAAAACCAGAGCTCGTGGTGGGGAGAGCCTGTGATTTGAATGCTTTTGGGATTGGATGGTGGGGACAGGATCGAGAAAACCTCCCTCCTTGTCACTTTCTGGAATGGAAAGTGATTTGTTGTCATTGGGTTGTGTCATCTGGCTTTTCTGAACAGAAGGGGGATTCTCCAGCTCTGCTGCTGGTTCAGTCACTGCCACGTGGCAGAGGGTCCCAGAGGGGATTCACCAAGGCCTGGCTGGGCCAGAGGCTCCTCCTGCCTTTATTTTCCTTGTTTAAACTTGATTTTCTGCAAATCACAGCCCCTGCATTGCTTATCACGTGCCAACTCCTTTTTAATTCCATTTTCTGGCTGCTTTCAATTTGGGCTCATTCCCCACCTCCCAGCTCCAAGTTCTGAGAGTTCAAACCCACATGCCTTCAGCCTCAACTCTCACGCTTCTGGACAACTTCAGAGCTGTTCCCAATTTGTCCCTCTCAGCTGGTTCCTCTCTAAATTTGGCCTGTTTGGAGGAGCAAGCCTGGATGGTATTGATTTTGGCTTTTAGTCCTGTTTACACAGAACCAATATAATTCAGCTTGTGCCTGAGAGACCAGTAACTTTTAGCTCAGAGACCCCTTTCCCCTGAGCTTCCCCAGATGGGAGTTTCCAGTGGAGACCTTTCCCATGTCAGGCACTGAGGCTGAATTAAAAAACTCGTGGCTGCAATGGGCAGGAATTCCAGGCTGTGCTAGTGGCAGCTGCCAGGGCTTGATCCAGCTTCCCACTGGCATATCCTGGCTGGCACATCCTGTGGGTCTGTTCTGCATCAGCTTCATGGAATTATAACGGTTTGAGTTGGAAGTGACCTGAAAGATCATCCAGTCCCACCCTCTGCCATGGGCAGGGACACCTTCCACTAGCCCAGGTTGCTCCAACCTGGCCTTGGACACTTGTAGGGATGGGGCAGCCACAGCTTCTCTGGGCAACCTGTGCCAGGGCCTCACAGGGAGGAATTTCTTCCCAATATCCCATCTAACCCTGCCCTCTGGCAATCTGAAGCCATTTCCCTTTGTCCTGTCCCTCCAGGCCCTTGGAAACAGCATCTCTCCATCTTTCTTGTTGTTCCTTCAGGTCCCAGAAGGCCACAATCAGGTCACCCCAAAGCTTCTCCTCTCCAGGCTGAACAATCCCAACTCTCCCAGCCTTCCCTGCCAGCAGAGCTGCTCCATCCCTCTGATGCTCTTGGTGCCTCCTCTGGCCTCTCTCCAGCAGCTCCATGTCCTTGCTGTGCTGTTCTCCAGGGCTGGGGCAGCTCTGCAGGTGGGATCTCACCTGAGGGGGCAGAGGGGCAGGATCGCCGGCTGCCCTGCTGCCCACACTGCTTTGGGTTCACCTGTTGAACACCTGAACACTTCAGGTCCTGCCCCTGGAGCATCAGCTGCCTGCGGGTCCCTTCTTTGGCTCCTCCTGCACCCTCTTGGGAAGGAGGAACGTGGTTCTCATAATTACCACCTGAACCTGTTTTAAGATGTCCAAAAGATGCAGTTGAGTTTTAGCCAGAGTGCTTTTTCTGCAGCCAATTGATTTCTTGCCCAAAAGGATTCTGTAAAATAACCTACATTTTTTTGTTGTTTGTTTGGGTTTTTTTTTTTTTAACACTATCAGTTTAAAGAAAGAATTTAAAAGTGTTATTTTAGAGCCTGTGTGTTACAGCTCTTCACTGCCCACCACCAGCTCTCAGCCATCATGCTTAAACAGAAACAGGACCACAACCTGAATTAGTTGAAGTTAATGACAAGGTGGCTCCTAACTGGGTTTGAAATCTGGCTGATGTGTTACAGTGAAGGGTTTACACTTAAACCATTGCTTCTGGTGTCTTTGGGAAGTGATTTAATCCAGGATGCTGCTGGGGCCAGGGGAGGGTCAGGTTGGACATCAGGAGGAATTTCTTCCTGGAAAAGATGGTCAGGCACTGGCACAGCTGCCCAGGGAGGGGGTGGAGTCCCATCCCTGGAGGGATTTAAAAGCCATGTAGATGTGGCACTTGGGGGACATGGTTTGCTGGTGGCCTTGGCAGTGCCGGATTAACACTTGAACTCAATGATCTTGGAAATCTTCTCCAACCTGAATTCTTTTGCGATCCTTGGATTCTGTGTTCCATGTCCAGCTGCCCATGCAGGAGGAGCAGTCCTGGCTGCCTCCCTGCTCTCACCACTTTGAAGCCTGATTTCCCTCCACCTCGAAGGCAGCGAAACCGCTGTGATTTAATTGGTAACATGTTCTAATTTGTTCCAAGCTCTGCAGGCTCGTTCATTGGGCATTAGCATTTCTCTGGATGAAAACAGCTCCGTGGCAGCCTCTCCTCTCCAGGCTCTTTGCTCTCATGACTTTGTGCAGATTGCTTTCCTTAATCTCCTTGGAATTTTACCTGGACACTGTTGGGAAACACAGTCTTTATCTTCCTTTGCTCTTCAGGGCTGTGAGGGTCATGAACCCACCTGGAGAGTGAATTGTGGGTGTCCAAGGGAGTATCTGAGAGCATCAGATGGGTGAAGGGAACTGGCTGGAGATCGTAGGAACATGGAATGCTTTGGGTTGGAAGGGACCTGAAAGATCATCCAATTCCACTCCCTGCCATGGGCAGGGACACCTTCCACTAGCCCAGGTTTCTCCAAGCCCCATCCAACCTGGCCTTGGACACTCTCAGGGATGGGGCAGCCACAGCTTCTCTGGGCAACCTGTGCCAGGGCCTCCCCACCCTCACAGGGAGGAATTTCTCCCCAGTATCCCATCTATCCTGCCCTCTGGCAGTGGGAAGCCATTCCCCCTTGTCCTGTCACTCCAAGCCCCTGTAAATAGTCTCTCTCCATCTTTTTTAGTGGCTCCTTCAGGCACTGGAAGGCCACAACTGGGTCATTCCAAAGCTTCTCCTCTCCAGGCTGAACAATCCCAGCTCTCCCAGCCTTTCCTCCCAGCAGAGCTGCTCCATCCTCTGATCCTCTTGGTGCCTCCTCTGGCCTCTCTCCAGCAGCTCCATGTCCTTGCTGTGCTGTTTCCCAGGGCTGGGGCAGCTCTGCAGGTGGGATCTCACCTGAGGGGGCAGAGGGGCAGAATCCCCCCCCTCCCCTGCTGCCCATGCTGATTTTGGTGCTTTGGGGTTGTTCTTTTCCTTTTCTAAATCACCAACAAATTAAATGTAACAAACGAAGACAGGACCCTCCCCCCCCAAAAAAAATTATCATAACAGAGAGCAAAGCACTTGAGTTGTTTGTGAAGGAGACTCTTCAAACTTGACTTTTGAAAATGGCAACATTAAAATTTTCACTTCTCCCTCTCCCTTTGGGATGGGGAAGAGTTTGGAAATCTCCAAGCTGGTGGTGTGGCATCTGGCAGCAAAGGAAGAGCTTCAGCAGCTCCTGCTGCCTTTGCTCGTCCAGAGTGGGGCTTGGCCAGAGCCAGCTCCCATTCCCAGCAGTACCATTGGGTTCTCACCTGAAGAACGACCAGTTCTGCCAGTGAAATTGGTGGTTTTCCTACTTGCTGCTCACGCAAATCCACCTTGGCGCTCCCGAGCAAATTGTGCCTCTCGTGTCCGTGGCGCGGAGCGGAGTCGGAGCCGCGGGGAACGGGTTCAATCAGCGGGAGACGGGAAGGACCGTAGGAATGATCTCCTTGCACCTCTCTGCTCCCCTTCTCGGCCCTGCGAGGCAAGTGTGGGCCTGCATCTCCCTCTAGTGACTCCTCGCAGCCTGTTCCTCGTCGGCTCCGTGAGAACCCCCGGCCAGGGCTGGGTCCCACCGGCTCCTCCCGGTTCCCCGTGGAGCTCAGCTGGAGCACGGAAAGAGCTCCAGGAGGGGGTGGTGGGCATGGAGGGGCTGATGGAAACGCTGCCAGCTGCTCCAGCAGAGCCGAAGGACCTTCACACCCACCCACCACCCAACCCACGGACAATAAGTGTGCGAGCCCAGGCTGAGGCACCTTCGCCGGTGCTGGGTGTAAAACCGGTGGGATTTTCAAGTGCAAAATGAAAGGCCGAAGGGACAGATCGATCCCTGGTGTCACTCTGTGGATTTGCTGCAGTTGTTTTAGCATTTGCTCTCGAGCTTGGATTTCTGTCATTAGGAGACCTCAGAGCACCTTCCGGTGCCTAAAGGGGCTCCAAGAGAGCCAGAGACGGACTTTGGATATGGGAATGGAGTTACAGGAGAAGGGGGAATGGGATCAAACTGAAAGAGAGTAGTTTTAGATGGGATGTTGGGAAGGAATTCTTCCCTGGGAGGGTGAGAATTCTTCCCTGTCTTCCCTGGCACAGAGAAGCTGTGGCTGACCCATCCCTGGAAGTGTTCCAGGCCAGGTTGGAGCAACCTGGGCTAGTGGAAAGTGTCTCTGCCATGGCAAGGGTGGTTGGAACAAGATAATCCTTAAGTGCCTTTTACCCAAACTGTTCTGGGATTCTTCTCCGAGTGCCCCTCCTGCAGAGACACTCAGGGTGGGGGGATCCCTGCAGTGGGGCTGTGAGGAGGTGGTCCATGTTGGTGTGGCCCAGGCTGGCACTTGGCTCATGTCTCTTGTGGAGGGTGAGTTTGGGTTTGTAGGGGGTTGAACTGCCCTGCCTGGTGAGGATGAGCTGCCCCAGAGCTCGGGGAGTCCTGCCTGGGGCTCACGAGCCTTGCCCTGTCTTGTCCCTCCCAGCAGTGTTTGTGCACGTGGGAAATTAAGGATCATAGAGTCATTAATGTTGGAAAGGACCTCAAGGATCACTGAGTCCAACCTTTGACCAAACTCCACCATGGCAACTGAAACCACAGCACTAAATTCCATTTGCAGGGATTTCTTGAACGCTCCCAGGGATGGTGACTCCACCACCCGTTCCGTGTGTTGAGCAGGAAAGGGAGAAAAACAAGTGAAATCTTCCCACTTCATTTTTTTTTCCCATCTTCCTTTTCAGAATTCCAGACTCACCAATTCAGATTTGACCCTGGGGCCACCTTGGACGTGGGAGGACCCTCAGGAAACCCTCAACCTCCATCCTGATGGGAGCGCCCTGGCTTCACTCTCTGCTCACGAGATGCCATCAGCTGAGGAGGAGGACGAGGAGGAGGAGGAGGGCAGCCTTTCTATTGAGGATGAAGGCTTTGAGCTGTTCAACTCCACCTATAACAAAATCACAGACCCTGGCAGGCCAGGGCTGGGCAGGAGCAGCACGTGGGTCCATGGTCAAGGTTTGTTCCCTTTCTCTGGGGAGATTCCTGGGAACCTGATGGCTCTTTCATCCTTTATTATGGATATCTATTATTATTACATATTATGACCTGGCTTTTGTCCACCCAGGAGCCTCCAGGAAGACACACAGAGTAGCCAAGAAGGACGGTGCCTCTGCCCCCCAGGAGGAGAACATCACCACGGAGAAGCTGACGGGGAACGCGGGCACCCAGCGGCGGCTCCCGCCCGGCAAACCCGGCCATGCCATCACCAACCTGGTGCCCCACACCTTCCCCAAGGTCCTGGCAGCACGTCAGGCAGCTGCTCCCCAGGGAAATGTGCCCAGAGGTGCCGTGAGGACAGCAGAGCATCATCCCCTGGTAGCAGCCAGACCCGCTGTCCCAGGGCTTGGGGACGGCGCTGCCCACGCAGGACACTCTGTGCCGATGGTGGCACGTGGGCAGCAAGGACACGTGAGACCAGGACCCCCAGGGCTGCCAGGACCACCAGGGCTGCCGGTGAGTGGTGCTGGTGATGGCTGAGGGAGGGGAGGGGTTGCTGGTGGAGCATCTCCCCCTCCACAGTGGGTGCTGCAGTGCCAGCGGTGCCATCAGCTCTCTGGGAGAAGGTTTGTCCACCTTCTCTGGACAAAGGAGTCTTCTCCATGATGGGAAACCCCCTCTGGCCCTGGCAGTTCCCTGAAGGAACTGTAGAGGAGATGATTCCCTTATTCCCTCTGCCCTAGAAGTGGTCTCAAGTAATTAAAATTAACCCCACTGTCGGTTTTCATTTCACCCTGGGCCTGCCCAAGGTCAAGGTGAGGGTCTCAGAAGGGGTCAGACCATTTCTTCCAGCCCCAGTTCCCACTGGCATCACTATCCTTTGCTTCTGTATCACTGCAACACCCAAAAATCGGTGCTGGTGCGAAGCAGAGCAGTGAATTTGTCTTGAAATGAGTTTTGGTTATTTTTCACTTCATTCATCCATTGTAGAGGATGAAAAAAGGGAAACTAAAAAGAAAGAGGTAAACTTAGAATAGATAATTCTTTAGAGAAGTCCTGAATCTTCGTTGAGAAGTAGCTGAAAAGTGTTTTATGTGTTTTCCCATGTTTGTTCCTTCTGCCAAAATTATTCTGTAATTTGCTTACATTTGCTTCATAATTCCTCTAGAAAATTGTATTATTGCCCAGAGGGCATCTTCTCCTCCCCGCAGGGCTGACACCCACATGGAATTCTCGTGGCTGTCCTGGGGTTCAGGGGGGTCCTGCAGGGCAGGTCCCACCCATGGCTGGGTTTATGGATGTGTTGGAGGGACCCGGCTCTAAATCCATCATCCATGAGCCAGGCTTCATGGGATAACGGGTCAATTTAGGATTGTAGCTTCCCCCACAAGACACCTCCTTGCTGCTGCACCTCTTGCCTGCAAAAATAGAAGGAAAAGGCAAAAGGAACAGATGCTGAAGGATGAAAAAATCTCAGGAGCGGAGGGAACGTCACAACATTTGACAGCCCTGCTGTCAGCAGGCAGGAGGGACCCAGCCAGGAGGGGAATTGCTATTCTCTCCTGTAGAAAGCTTGGAGAGGTGGTTTTTTTTCCCTCAATCCTGAGTATCCTGGGTGGAAATAGAGATACCAGCAGCTCTACCCCAGCATTAGGAGTAAGGGAGAAAGATGGAGAGGGAGTTTTTACAAGGGCATGGAGTGAAAAGACAAGGGGGAATGGCTTCAAACTGCTAGAGAGTAGGTTTAGATGGGATATTAGGAAGAAATTCTTCCCTGGGAGGGTGGGGAGGCCCTGGCACAGGTTGCCCAGAGAAGATGTCCTCCAAAACAGCCAGGACCTCTCACCTCACTGTTCAACCCAGATGTGCTCTGATCAGCTCAGAACCAGCCATTTCAGTCCCTGCTTCCCTGGAGTCGTGGCACTGGTCACCCAGTCCCTGTGGGGACCCCCCTGTGGGGTGACACAGCTCTTCTCCTTTGCCTTCCAGGGCTGTCCTGGCAGACGGGGACTGGTGGGGCCCAAAGGAGACAAGGTGAGTGTCCAGAAAATTAGGAGAATATGGAATATGGGGTTTAGGGTCCAGGACAAATAGCATGGCTGGTTTGGGTTGGTTTGGGTGTTTTTCAGCAAGACAGCAGTGGGAACTTCTGAAGCTGCAGGGAAGGATGAAAAGCCCAGCCCCGGGCTGTATCCATGGAATCATCTCAGAGGGACATCTGTCCTGCCTTGGTGGGACCCAGGACTGCCCTTCCTCCTCCAGAAACCCACTGTGCAGCAGCCACGTGGCACAGCCTGGTCTCCTGCTGCACTGGGGGATGGTTGGGGATGGTCTGCATTGAGGGTGGTGCCCCAAGGTCCCCCTCACCTCTGCACAGCAGATCCCATCTTTCCCAAACTGTAGAGGAGCAAACTCTTCGCCCCACACAGTGTCTGTCAACAACAGCTCCTGTGCTGGTGGTGCTTGGATGGGTCTGGGCACAGGAATGTTTGTACAAAGCTCATTTCTTTTGCTTTCCCTCTTTCCAGGGTTATTTAGATCTTAAGAGGTGGTTTGAACCCAGGAATGTGCCCCACTCTGACCTGAGTCAGAACCTGTGCTGGTTGTTCAACCCCTGGCTGATTTTAAGGTATTTTTAAGGTATCCCTTGTCTCCCTAGGGATACCCTGGAGCCATGGGCAGGATGGGCCCCCCAGGTGACCCAGGCCCTGTGGGCATCCCTGGTGTGCCCACCATCGTTCTCTGGAGGAACTCCAGGGAGGACTGGCAGACCTTCACGGTGAGTTACAGCCCTGGTGGGCTCAGGGAGCTCCACTCACACCTCCCCATCAGCTCCCTCTGCTCTGTTGGGAGGAAGAGATACCACGGTTTGACATTCCTGGTGTGGTGGGTGGCAGGTGAGGGCAGAGGGACAGTGCCAAGGAGGGAGGTGCAGCTCTGTGGACAGCTGTCCATGGGCTCAGCATGTCCTGTGTTCCCAGCAGTGCTGTCCCTCTGTCCTTTGGGACTGACCAGGAACAGGAACTGTCCTTTGGCTCCCTGTGGTCCACACTCATCCATCCCCTCCCTGGGATGGTTCATGCCCTACCTCTGCAGGACAGAGGCCAAGGGAGACCCAAGCCCTGCAGAAAGCAGCCCTTCTGCTCTGTGTCACAAACCACAAAGCACTTCTCCTGTTTTCCACCATCTCCCAGCTTCCTGCTCTGCTCCCCAGGGTTTGTGCCCGTCAAGCTCCTTGCTCGGAGGTTTCCTCAGCTGATCCCTGGGGAGCACAGGAGCAGGATGGGACCTGTGGGGAGGCAGCAGCGCCTCAGCCAGTGCATGGCTGGATGCAGAACTCCATGGGGTGACTCCTAAACTCACTGCAACGACCCAGGCAGTGTCGTTTGGGATCCCCAGCTCCTGACAGCACACTGGGATTAAGCTTAAACTCCCCGTGGAGCCTGGCCTGATCCAGGCAGGGCAACAGCTGAAGGCATTGGGTTTCTAACTGCCTCAGGTACTTTTCCAGCCCGGGCTGGAGCTCCCTGGGGTGGGAATGCTCTGTGTGTTGTGTGTCTGTAATGCCCCTCTGGTGGAACTGCAGCCTGGCAGAACAGTATCAGTGGCAGGTCAGTGCAAGGGGCAGAGCAATGGGCTGGTGAGAGCTCAGGCTCCATCTCCAGCTGTCTGAACTCTTCTGTGACCTCGCCCAGGACTTCTGACTTCTCTACAGCCCATTCACTGCTGTCATTGCATCCTTTGCTCCGGGGAAAATGCCTGGAATTCCGGGGAGAGGGGCAGGGGGGATATCTCTGCTCTGCCAGCACAGCACGCCCCGAGGCAGGAGGAGAATGGCTCTGTGCTGGTCTGGCTCTGAGCTGGGACTCACCCACCAGAAGCCCTTTGTGGTTTGTGTTGTTTGGGATCAAAGCAGAGGAGTTCAGGAGATCAGATTCCTCCTGGGAAGCACAGACAGAGCTGATCACTGGGAGATGCTGATCTGGAGAACCTGCACGTTGTCCTGCCCTCCTGCTGCTCCAGAGCAGGAGCTGTGCTGGTGCCAGCGCTCACAAACCCCACTGCGGGCTCACAGAACATACAGGAACAGTCAGGGATAGCGGGGAGAGGGCCCGAAGTGCCGGCTGGAGGAATCCTGCCGTTCCGGAGAGCATCTCCACGCCGGGGTGATCCCTCCCTCCCTCCCTCCCTGCAGCATCAATCCCTGCTGGCAGGGCACGGTCACAGCACTTTGCAGAGCTGCTGCCGCTCAGTCAGAATTCCTTTCTTTTCGTGGCCGTTTTCTTCCCTGCCTGCACTTGGAAAGGCACCTCAGGCTTTGTTCCTCCGCAGGAGAACCGTCCACGCCTGTGGATGCTGCCGTGATTTCGGTGGGGTCCCCCCTCCCGTGGCCGCGGGGATGCCGGAGGGAGCTCGGGAAGCGCTGCGGGTCCCGGCCGGGGGCGCTCCCGGCGTTTTCCCGGCGCTGTTGGCCCGGTGCCGGTCCGGAGGGGAAGGCAGTGCCTGCCGGGGGTCACCGGGGCCACCCCAGAGCCCTGCGGGGCCATTGTGTCTGTGGCCGAGTGACCCCGCGGCGCTTCGCTCGAACGGGAGCGCAAATCCCCGGGCTGGGCTTTGTTAATCCCTGCTGAGACAGCGCGGGGAGCGGGGGGGGGGGCTGTCTGTCTGTCTGTCTGTCTGTCTGTCTGTTCTGCAGCCCTGCAGAATGCGGGGGCTCGCGGCAGTGCTGGTTTGGGGTGGGGGGGGGTCAGAGGGGATGTCCTGGGATCTGCTGTTGGATGAGGCTCTGGGAATGAGGTCAGAGGAGTCAAGGATACAGTGCAGGATGATGGATTGGAAAAGAGAGAGGCACGTGGGGACCATTCCAGAGCATTTGTGGTTGTTGTGGTGCTCGACAGCCCCTCCTGCTTTTTTCCAGTGAAAAAAATAAACTCTTTGCAGTTCATGGGAATTAAGGAAAACCAGCTCAAGGCCGCTGTGATTCCACCCCAAGCCCCTGTCCTGTTTTTGCTCACAATGTATTGACAAGAGTCCGGGTTTGCCAAGAATTCTTGGTGTAACTGGAGGGGCAGGAACTGCTGCTGGTTTGTTCTGTCAGCATTGACTTTGGTAGGAGTGGAGCTCCCAAGGCCCCCAGGGAAGGAGGAAGGAGAACTGGAGCTTCCAGAGTTACTGGAGAGCTTAATCTACAGTGCCAAAATCCTTTCTTTTTATCTATCCCCATACCTTTCTTTAACAGCAGGAGGACGGGCTGGGAAATAAGGGCTGGGGGCCTCAGAGTGAAGGAAAATGTTGTTCCAGGTGAAAAGGAGGGGAATTTTAGGGATATATGGGTGGGGAGGGGACCAAGGGTGGGATGATCAAGGGTGAACTGGGGAGAGTGGCACAAGGTGGGCATCCGAGGCTGCTCCCCACAAGGCTGCAGCCCTTGCTGCCAGGCTGGAGTTTTCCAGGAGCGCAGATCCCACAGGGACCTGTGGATCCCCATCCTCCATCCCCTGCATTCCCAGAGCTCCCCTTGCCCCACCCTGCAGCGAGCAAAGCCCTCACTGTTTCCTGCTGAAATTCCAGAAGCCAATTAATTTCTCTGCCCTCTCCTTGGCATCTGGTGTTCCTGAAATCCGAGTTCACGTCTCATGTGGGATTCCCCCCCCCTCCACCTCCCCTTTCAAAAGGTTGGATTATTTATTTATTATATATATTTTTTTTGAAGCCTAATGAAATAATATCCTGTCCTGAGTGAATCTGAGTTCACTGATTCCTGAGACAAGGCAAAAGCATTGGCTTGGCTCCAACCTCCTCCTCCAGAAAGTTTTTGTGTGAGCAGCTTTTGAGGGAAATGAGAAGTGGCTGGACAGGAGGAGCAGGGAGGCCTGACAGGGACTGCACCCCTTCACTCACTAATCAGTTTGGGATCAACTTAAAAGGAGCAGGGATGCCTGGTGTGGTGTTAGAGCTGGATAAATGCACCCATCCATCATCTGTCCCTGAGAGCCCTGCTCATTGCTGGAAATATTTCCATATGTTGAAAGGTCTGTGTTTATTTTCCATAATGAATTTCTTGGCTTTTTCCCCCTTCTCTCTCCTCTGCTGTTGGAGCAGGGGGCAGGAGGGGGTTTCCAGGTGCTGGGAAGCACGTAGGGACCCCTCCTGCTGCCTGGGATTTGGGTGATGGACAAGGAGGGACTTTCCCAGCCTTTGATGCCAGTCAGGACTGGGAGGAGCTGCCTGG